CAAAACAGACCTCAGAAGAATTTAATTTAACAAGCTTCCTTTTTGTTATTGTCAGATTGCGACATCCAGTGGCTAGAAGGCAGAACAACATCATTTTAGATTCATTTTAAAATATGATTGTTAAAAAAGTTTAAAACAGGGTTCTGTTAAAATATATAACTGTTGGTATTTTGCCCACATTAGATGACTGTTAAAATATATACTGACAACAGAACAGGTTCATCTTTTCCAAGAAAGGCCCAATTACTAACATAAGTGGGTTTCTGCCCTATAGACTAAAGTTGATGGTTCCACAGGAGAGGAGCCTGATACCTAAAAGATCTGCCTCCCATTCTCCTTTTAGAAATTCTAGGAACCACTAGTGAACCTGCAGATTGAGAGTGAAATGCTTATTTAGGAGTGTAAGGAATAATCGGATCTCTGATATCAGATGGAGCTTGGCTATGTAGGAATTTATGTGTGAAAAGGAGGATTTTAAACTCTAGTGTGGATTTAACAGGAAGCCATAGAGAAGCCAGGATAGGAGAGATATGATCTCTCTTTTGAATTTTCATCAGAACTTTGGCTGCAGCAATTTGGATCAGCTGAAGGCTTTTAACTAAAGTCTGTGGACTTCTAACAGAAAAGAATTTTAATAGTTTAGCCTTGAAGTAACAAATCCATGGAGTAGTTTCTCGGTCTACCCCCTGGACGGGAAATGTCTAATTTTTCGAATATTTCAGAGACAAAAGAAGGAAATTATAAATCTTTTAGTTATCAGGCTCCTCTTCTGTGGAACCAACTACCAGTTTTAGTCCATGAGGCAGACACCCTGTCTACTTTTAAGGCTAGGCTTAAAACTTTCCTTTTTGATAAAGCTTCTAGTTAGAGTGGCTCAGGTTATCCTGAGCTATCTCTATAGTTCTGCTGCTATAGGCTTAGACTGCTGGAGGACATAGGGACCCCTTTTTCATCATTCTGATTCATTTTATCTCTGTTCATAAACTCTGCAAAATTTGTTAGTTCAATCTCTAACGTTCTGCTCTCTCTGCTTTTTCACATAGTAGCTTCATCTGGTCTGTTCCTGTTTGGCTGTGACTCCATCCTGGAGAGAAATATCAGCTGTGATACTGCCATCAAAACCTCTGTTTGTGAATGTTGGAGCTTGTTTTGTTTTTTAGTGTAGTCCTGGTTGTCTGACTGAGAACTCTCTTTCATCCTCAGGAGCATTATATGATAATGATCTGTCTTCTGGGGGAGGAGAACTGTGTTAGAATAATCCTAAAGGTTATCAAAAAGTGATAAGAGAGGACAGGGTTTTCAGCAGTAGTGTAGTGGTCCCTGGAGAAGGTATACTCGCACTCTTTTTTTAATGCAGCCCAGAAACACTGAAATGTCAGACTGCGTTATTTATTTTACTGAAAAATTGGATAATCCTGGATAATCAAAAATTAATTGGAATTCATCTTTGAAATTATTCAACAAAAAAAACAATATATAACATAACAAAATCTAATATAAAAATGCATTTACAACACATCAAAAGTTTTATCCTAACCCAGTGCTGTCGAGCCCTGACATGTTATTTGCCTAATTTATAAAGTCCAACAATAGAAATAGCCACGCCCACCTTGCATAGTTGATGCTGTCAACCAAAGTTGCGCCGACATCTTTGAAGGCGAAGAGGCACCTGCCTCTTCACTGACGGCATCTTGTCCAATGGGGATGCAGGCAGAGTGGACTTTAGTCTTAACTCTAACAGCGTAGCACCGCTAACATTAGCGGAACAGTTGGCTAATGTTAATTAACGAGAACATTTGTAATTTGGAAATAAAAGTGTTGTTTGATTAACTCGGTTCATATTACTGATTCTTTGCAAATACTAAATGCAAACCATTAAAACTAAACTCATAAATGTTATTTCATATGTTAGCAATATCAATCTCAGCGCCCTCTGCCTCCGATTGGTTCACTGGTCGTCATGCCTACAGGTAACCAATGTAATCAGTAATCCCAGAGAGTACTAGCCAAATTGAAGCAGAGTAGCACAAGTGATGGCTTCACCGTCCTAGGAAAAAATGGGAAATTTGGCCCAGAAATTCTGCTTAATAGTGCGGATCATGGGGGATTTAGAAATGGGTATACACAATGCCAATAGAAAAATAAGTGGGTATACCCATGTATACCCTGGACTGCATCTCTGGTTGTGATGAAGAAATGTTATTTCTTCACTTTCAATGCTTTATGTCAGCACAAGGTCCAAAGTATGAAGATGAGAATGTGTGGTGTGGGATTATTCACATTTTGACAAAGCTAATCGAGTCTAAGATAGCATTAGAGGCTGCATTTAAGCTATCACCTTTAATGTCAGCATGGATGTTAAAATCCCCCACTATGATGACCCTGTCAGTATTCAACACCAAATCAGATAGGAACTCTGAAAAATCTTCCAAAAATTCATCATAAGGACCTGGTGACCTGGTGATTAATGGTTCAAAAGGGTTATAATTATTAACTGAGTTATCAGTGAAGTCAGACTGAAAGATCCTGCTTGTCCAGAATTTCTGTGTATATGAAAATTTAAACAACTAGAGGGAGTTGCCTCATTTATGCTCACATAATCCTCTTGCTGCAGCCAGGTTTCTGTAAGGCAACATAAATCAATTTGATTATCACAAATCAAGTCATTAACCAGCAGACTTTTTGTAGAATGAGATGTTATGTTAAATAAACCATATCTAATTGTGTTAACTTTTTCCCCAATTGTAGTTGATTTTATTTTAATTAGATTAGCATGATTTAATCTTTTAGGATTATTTTCTAACTTATTAGATTTTGGCCGTGGGCAAGACACTGTCAGGATGGAGTAATGAGTGGGTAACAGTATAGAAGTTGTAAAAAGGTGTGTTAAACTACAAATCGGCTTCCTGGTCTGTTCCCTGGATTGTCAGTGTTTTGAAGGACAAATAGATTTGGCCAGATTCTTAGAATCTTAGAAGCTGCACCATCCAAAGTGGGATGGATGCCGTCTCTACGCATCAGAGCAGGTTTTCATCAAAAGGATTGCCAATTATTATTGAAGCCCACATTGATTTCAGGACAACACCCAGACAACCAGCAGTTGAATGACGACATGCGGTTAAAGAGGTCATCACTGGTCAAATCAGGGAGGAGACAAGAGAAAATTAGAGTCTGACATTGTTTTGGCAAACTTACATACCGAAGAATCACTCATTTTAGTTCCTTGCAGAGTTCCTGACTGCTTCTCTTAGCAGTCGGATCATCTTCATATTATCCTCTATTACAAAAAATAACCTTTACTCCCTTTCTGCATCTTCTCCTTGGAGTCCTCCTTTATATGGGTCAGTAAACTTGGAAAAAACAAGAAATTTCTCCAAAAACGCAATCAAAAAAATCTTAGTAGAACCTCCAAAATTCAAAAAATATCCACTGGACTTGGTTTTCAAGATTTGAAGACGTTTCACTACCTCACCAAGAAGCTTTCTCAATTCAAATGTCTGGATCCGCAGTGAGTTTGAGTCTTATATAGACAAAGCCTTGTAACCGATTAATGGGTCGTTAGGTTCCATCGTTAGCCTGAAATATCTGAACCTGTCTATGATTCTAAGGGTCGGTCGTTAAAGGGGGGGGGGGGTTGCCGTTAAGGGGGGGATTGTCTCCTGTAATACCTGAAACCTGTCTATGATTGTGAAGACTCGGCCGTTAAGGAGGTTTAAACCAACTTTACACAGAGGTGGTGGACCCCCCCACACCATCACAGAGGAACGAGGGACCTACCCGCTCCAGCCGTTTAACAATACCTCCTTAACGACCGTGTCTTCACAATCATAGACAGGTTTCAGGTATTACAGAAGACAATCCCCCCCTTAATGGCAATCCCCTCCTTTAACGACCGACCCTTAGAATCATAGACAGGTTCAGATATTACAGGCTAACAATGGAACTAAACAACCCATTCTTCGGTTACCATTTGCATGTTTCCAAGCGATACAAGGCTTTGTCCATATAAGACTCAAACTCACTGCAGGTCCAGACATTTGAATTGAGAAAGCTTCCTGGAGAGGTGGCGAAACGTCTTCAAATCTTGAAAACAAAGTCCAGTGGATATTTTTTGAATTTTTACGGAATGACTATGACCTGGATGACTGAGAACCTTCATCAGCAACCTCCAAAATGTTACACCAGTCTTTACTAAAAGTCTAGAACAAGCCCTTCACTACCTCCAATTACATTACAAACAGGGTATGGTATGGAAATGTATGGTTTTGACAAAAAGACAGTGGACTATATACACCCCGCTGGAATCAGATTAGGAATACACAATAAACTCTTCAGGAGTTTATATGCCAGCACAATGTAACCAATTCATTTTTTTTTTTTTTATAAAAGCAGTATTAACTTTATGTTTTAACAGTTAACCTCTTCAAGAATTGAATTCTGTTTCTAAAAGTGAAACAATGTGAGAAGTCTTTTTAAAGTGACCTGTTATAAACCCTAAGCTATTTTACTTTCACTCTTTTTCAAAAGAAGCACACCCTAAATCAGAAAGGTTGTCTTCAACCGGTTCGTGGAGCAGCCTCCTGCTCTACTCGCTCTGATAATATAGATACCTGTTCCTCAACAAGTGACCCGTAAACATACCAAGAAAAAGCCATCCGTCATTCCTCATTCGTTTTGGTTCACATATAGCACAGTAGACGGTGTGATAAGATAAGGTCCCAGATAAATAAAAGTAATTTGCACTGAAGCCATAACACAAAAATGTGAAAACATACAGCAAAAAAATAAACATTCAATCTAAAAAAATAAAAACAAAGCTAGACGATTATGTTATTAATATGATTTTAACAAAATCTTAATCTGAATTGTTGGAAACTGAAGTTTTGAGGCTATTTTCATAAGTCAAAATTAGACTGTGGGAAACAAAGTGATTACACAACGCTACCAACAACTCCGCCCTCGTTGCTGTTCTATAAAGTTGTGAAAGCAAATTGCCGAATGCTCTTCCTCCATCCTGCATCCAAGAGCTTCACTAATCCTACAGCTCAGGTATGGCTATTTCTAAAGAGAAAGCAAGTTAGTTGCTTATTCAGGATATACTCTTAAATTATGACTCATAAAGCTTTCATATAACAGAAAAAACTTGCATCTAATTGGAGTTAAACTGGTGCTTCTAATAAAAAAAATCAACTATTTTTTTTATCTAATTTGGAAAAAGGAAGACAGTTTATTATTACAACTTTTTCATACATTTCCTTAAAATATTTATTCTTCTATGTTAATTGTAACAGAGATAAGAATACTATTCATAAAAAGGTGAACATATTTCCAAAATTGTATTCTTATTAAAGTTATTTATGATATCAAGCTTATTTACATTTATATCATTTTATCGTCCTATGAAGGTTAAACAGCATCTCATAAACAAATGTTCTTTTTTTATTTATAGCCAAACAGGTGTCCAACTTTTGATCGCTAAATCAAGATGGCTGCACAGTGAGTATTATGTTATTTTACTTTCTGTTAAAATGAAACATTTAAATGCATATGTGGAAGATTTTTTCTTTTATTCCTTTAAATTTTAGCAAATTTTTAAAAGGAAACTCCTGATTTAGAAAAATATTTAAGTGTAAATGAACATTAAATATGTATTTTTTTAAGCTCCCAGTCCTAAAGTGTGACATACCAGTGCATTCTTTTGATGACAGTGGAAGATTCAAGATGAGATACCACACCTAATCTCTTCTTTTAACAGTTTGTTAACTCTCATTAACAAAAGACAGGTGCCAATCACCCAGTGCCTGTAACAGAAACTGAAAACAACAAAAGAACAGGGACATATGTTTAAACAATGCCTATTACTGTACTGTCCTGTGCTTCATCCAGTCAGCAAAACTTTTAGCCTTTATAGATTGTACCATATTATTACCTGATTAATTAGCATCTTGAATCGAAAATATAGAAAATGTTTTCTACTAAGACGTAGACAACTTGGTTATAATAAAACAATTCTGTTGGTGTAGCCAAGATAAATGCATAACAGAATTTTTTTATTTTTTTTTTATTTTTTATTTTTTTTTTATTTTCACAGATCAAAATAAAAAGTCAGAATACACCAATAGAATAAAATAAAAAAATGTGATGGAGTGTGACAGAAACCCTTTAGGGCTTATACCAAGGCCACACCCGTAAACCAACAAGATATCAGGCAGCTCACATTAACAATTAACAATAATAATAAAAAAAAAGCCGAGCATGTTAACAGAAGGGTGGCCCAAAAAATAGAAAACCATCAAAGATCCTCTTCAAACCTGTGGATACCCAAATTGGGCGTTTGTCAAATCAGCAAGGAAATCCAAAAGACATGCAGCAGAAGATAGTGGAGAGAAGATTAAACACAAAAACATTGCCATCCCATATGTTGCTGGAGTCTCTGAAAAACGGAAAAAAGGATTTTCTCCATTCACAAAATCCCAGTACATTTCAAGCCTAACAAGACCCTTAGGCAGAGGCTAGTGCGTCCTAAAGACAAAACCCCCAGACCAAATATGAGTGGACTGGTGTATGCAGTTCAATGCAGTGAGGAATGCTCTGATCTTTATATTAGAGAAACCAAACGACCTCTCCAACGACGCATGGCCCAACACAGAAGGACGGCCTTCTTTGGACAAGACTTGGCGGAACATCTACACCTTATGGATAAAGGACATTCTTTTGAGGACCAGAATGTTCATATTTTGGACAAAGAAGACAGGTGGTTTGAGAGGGGCGTGAAAGAAGCCATCTATGTAAGGAAAGAAAAAAAACAACCTTAAACACAAGGGGTGGGGGAGAGCTTTCAAAGCCTACAATGCAGCAATTGAGTTGATTTCTTCCTGCTATCATCGCATTCCCAGCCCTCTTACAGGGGAACAGAACACCTTGCCTGTTCAGCCAGGCCAACAATTCCAATTCGACGCTACGGAAACCGCGGCAGACCAAACCAGATGAAAGTGCGCATTCAGCTCGGCAAAGAACTCATGCTCTTCCTCAACACTGAAGTCCTCAGACATTTTTCTTTCGTTGTTTCTTTCTTTGCACAGGTAAACAGCACATTTCTTCTTCTACGCTTGCATTATCGGCAGAGCAGACGCTGAATGCGCACTTTCATCTGGTTTGGGCTGCCGGCTTCCGTAGCGTAGTGAACGTGCAGGCGCGCGCTTTCAGGAAATCCTATACACTACTGTTTATGCTCTAAAAACATTTTAAATGACTTCGTTTCGAGTAAATTCTGGATGCTACCCACTCAGGACACTTGGAATACATTGGACAAGCAGTATGGAGGAATATTGACAAGTTTTTTGTGGACTTTTATGGACCTTTCTGTCTCGGGCACCATAGACCTCCATTATTTGAATGTCAGCAGACAGCAAGAAGCCTCCCAGATCTCCAGATGCATTTAAGATATCAAAAAAGTACTCCAGGGTGTTGTTCAGCATGGGGGTGAGTAGAAAATGAAGGCTAATCATGTTTTGGGTGTACTATTCCTTTAACAACCAACCTTTCAGAGACATAGACAGGTATCAGTATCAAAACACTCTTTTGGAATAAATTAAGACCTTTTTTTGAACAATCTCAGTGGTTTTCTGGCCGGTTTGTGCAAATCCCTCACATTGCCCCTGTTAAAATAAACCAATAAAATGAAATCAAATACAAAGAATTGCCCTAAAAATAAACATTAAAAGGGTTATCCAATACAGCTTTGTTACAAGAAAATGATTTTGGCCACTTTTTCCAATCTTAATAAGAGTTGAACTTTATTGACACTGGAGAAATTCACCTCTGCATTTAACCAAGCAGTGGGCTGTCACCGTGCAGGAGTCTGGGATTAAGGGTCTTGCTAAAGGATCCAGAGTGGCAGTCTGTGGGAGTTGAACTTAGAACCTCCAAGCGCAATGCTCTAACAACTAGGCCACCACTCCACAACAATCTTCCATCCTCCTGTAACGCCTACAGCATATATATCCCGTGTTGGATTTAAACACGCAAAGCACTTCAAACACGTTAACACGAGTTCAAACTATACATAAGTCATTGCTAGATATGCAATGCACACATTGCAATGTAAATCTAAATGTGTGTTAAATCTGAAATAGTGAAAGACTTTGCTATTTTTTTCATCTATATCTGAATTTTGCAGTTACATACCTTCAGAAAAGGTCATTCCAAATATTTATTTTTTTGATAATTTATTTAATATTCTATATTTTTTTATTTTCCTTAGATTTCCTGACATCTCATCGAAATACAAAGACTTTGTCTCCAAAAGTACTCTGGTTCATCCAGGACCTCCTGGTGTCTACAAAGTGGAAGTAAAACAAGAAAAAATCGGGAACTTGACAAAGATCATTGTTGGGGAGAAAACACTTGAGAAGACCAACAAAACCATCTTACTTGTTGGTGAAACAGGAGCAGGAAAATCTACTCTGGTCAATGTCCTGTTTAATTACACAATGGGAGTGAAATTTGAAGATGGAGTTTGGTTTGAAGTTGTCGAAGAGAAAGAAAGAAGTCCGACAGAAAGTCAGACGCCAGATGTGATAGTTTACGAGATGTTTGAGGGTCAGTCTGTGCCCTACTCTCTGACCGTCATTGATACCCCTGGATATGGAAGCACTGGAGGGATTGATGTCCTCACCAGTCAGAGATTGTTGGACCTGTTTCAATCTGAAGATGGAGTTCATGAGATTCATGCAGTGGGTCTGGTGATCAAAGCATCTGAGAATCGACTTAGTGACCGACTTAGATACATTTTTGATAACATGTTGTCTCTGTTTGGGAAAAACCTGGAGAAAAACATTGTAGCTCTCATCACCAACTCAGGTGGGAAACGACCAAAAGATGCTCTAAAAGCTCTTGAAGCTGCCCAAATTAAATGTGCCAGAAATGAAAAGAATGAGCCCATTCATTTCCTATTCAATAACTGTCAGAGTGACGACCGAACAGATGAGGATGAAAATGAGATACTAAAACGTTCATTTGATAAGGCAAATATAGAAATGAGCCAGTTAGAAAAGTTCTTAACAGGAGTTGAAGCGCAAAAGTTGAGCACAACTTTGGAAGTTTTGAATGTTCGTATTAGCTTGGCCGCCTGCATTTACAACCTGCAAGAAAGAATTCACCTGAGTGAGCAAAAACAACAAGAGATTAGACAGATGGAGAAAGGTCTGGATAAATATAATGCGAAATTGAAGAGTAGTACAGAATTTACCATAGAATATGAAGAAGTATATAAGGAGAAACAAAAAGTAGGTGTGGGATCCTGGGGGATGAAGCTTTTCTATGATTCTGCCACCTGCTGTCGTGTCTGTCAGGAGAACTGTCACTATCCATGCACTGTGGCCTGGTATGCTGACAAATGTAAGATTATAAAGAACGGACACTGTACAGTTTGTACTAAGAAGTGTCCAGCATCCGATCATGTCAAAGAAGATTGGCAATATGTTACCAAGACAAGGAAAGTTCGGAGGACCCTGAAAGAAATGAAGAAGAAATATGAGGTAAAGAAAGAAGGGATTAGTGATATGTTGGCAGCTCTGAAACAAGAGAATGATAGGCTTGAAGAAGAGAAGAATGAGTTTCTGGAGGAAGCCTACAAGCATGTTATGAAGCTGGATGAAATTGCACTGTCTGTTAATTCATTGTCTACTTTTGTTCACTTGGATTTCCTGATTGAAAAGATGAAGGAGAAAAGAGAAGATCGTAAGGCTTACCAACTGGAGAAGATAAAAAACAGTCAGGATAAAGGTGTGGCTTCAGTGTTGAAGGTCTTCTATAAAAAAAAAAACGAAACTAAACTAAGGGATCTAGAAGTATAGTCTTCAGAGCTGATGACGCTCTGTGGTGTGTATCATGGTTTTTGTTCTGTTCAAATTTTATCTCTGAGTTTTCATTGGTCTTATTTCCTTTTTGGTGTTCTAGTTATTTTTGATTGTATTTGAGTTCTCAGATATTTCTTGTTTGCCTTCTCCTTTTCCATAGCTCCCTTCTTGCCTCCTCTGTTCACACCTGCTCCCAATCTGCTAATTAGCTTTGCCTTGTTTTTCTCTCCCATATAGTCTCCTCCTGTTCAGTCACTATTTGCTGGTTTGTCGTCATTTCTTTGCCCCCTTTCTTGTGAGTATTCCTGGTTTTCAGTTTTTGTGGATTTTTGTTTTGGATTTTTGGATTATTAATTAAATCTTCAAGAAAAAACTTCAGCTTTTGTGTCTGCATTTGGGTCCTGTCAAACCCCCACCTTGACCGTGTGAAATAGTAGGGTGTCTTATGTAGACTAATTACTAACAAAGGAATGCTTTCTGTTTTCTGACACTTTACAATTGTATTTCAAATATTAATTCATAAAATAAAAATGAAAAATTAAGAAACAATCTGTAAAAACATGGTTGAAACTTTGAAGTTAGTGTACTCTCCCAATGAAGTTAGTGTATAAAGAGATAAAAGATGAGGAAGTCTTAACTAGACATTAAGCTTTTATATATAGTTGTGTATCTTCACTGTAGCAGTAGAAATATAGAAAATGCTGTCTGATAATCTCAACAAATGGAGGCATAAGGCTAAGTTTCATTTCATTTGTGTCATACATTTAGGAAAATGCATTCTGCTAGATATTGTCAGCTTCATACGTGTTGCCTATTTTACCCAAATATAATATATGATGAAAGCTATTGGAAGATTCAGTATAAGAAAAATATTAATAAAGTAAATCTGAGGAATGTTTTATCATCGTTGTGTTTCTTTGGGTGAATACCTAAAGGTATTTTTAAAGAGAAACCATGAACTAGATTAAGAGTAACAGAAGAATCCAGCAAGAGACAATAAAACCAGGGAGCTTAGGTACAGAAGAGTGAAAAAGATGTGGGAACCAGGTGAGTCAAATCTATGGAAGAGCTGAGGGAGAGCACAGGACAGGGGATCTGAGGAAAGTAAACTAATAAACAAAACAGATGTTTTGAGGAGATGCATCCCAAAGTTCTAAAAAGAAATAAACCTGCTACCGACCTCTTCCTTTCACACAGTATATTTTTAGTGTTTCTTTAAAACAATAAGAAATCAGATATGAGCAATTCATTTTGGACTTTTAACATTAAAGGTACTGTGGAGGATTTTCGCCAATTTTTGAAAAAAACCACCCTCTTCACTTAAAAAAAATGCACAGCACAACCCTGTACCGGCTCCTGAAAGGGAACGCCTAAATGCGTGCGAGAGCGAGCACAAGCCCATTTCTCCTCGGGCACTTTCTGTTCATAAGTGGCTGTTTTCATAGCTCATACAAGCTTACTGTGTCCAAACATCTGCCCCAACCCCTAAATCCCTTAATCACTATATTGAGCGGTGAATATTTAGTGAACTCAGTCAACTTACTGTTCGGACAGATGATCACTACTTTTTGCTCCCCATTGATCATGTAACTTCTCCCCCACTGCGTGGTGCCAGCGCCATCTTTGTTATTAGTCGCTGCTATCGGGTAGCGACAGCCCATGGCTTCAGCAGGGCAGCTGTGACATTAAATCCCATAATGCTTTGCGAGGAGATCTCTCCACACAAGAAATTCTTTCTGGGATGTATCTGCCTCTTCTGAGGCATTTCTATTCTTCCCCTACACTTCGTAGACACTTTCTCTTATGACCCTCGGCCATTTTCAGAGAACGACAGTGAGAAAGTTGAGCTTCAATGACTGTCTGAAACCGTAGTTCACCATAGATATACGCCTGAAAGAGCGCATGAGCATACAAAGATAGCTAACGGGACAAGCAAGTAGGACGGCCTTACATAAACATATCATCAGAATAATTAACAATTAGGAGGACCACTTATTTAGATGATACACCCCGAAAATAAAAGATCGTCCTCTATACCTTTAGAGGTCGATGGACCTGCTTCCCTTTTAACCTAAATTAGAACTTCATAATGTGCAACATCTAAAAGTAGTTTGAAAATGACAGTTGAAACAACAGCATAGTGTTTTATTATTTAGCTTATTATCCAGTTTATTTATGAACACATAGATTTAGCATTGTGTGTGTATATTTTTAGTGTATGATGATTAGTATTTTTAAATTATTTTTTAGTTTTTTTGCTGAGATTAAGATGATTTTTTTAGAATAAGGCTGAGAACTACGTTAAATGAACAGATAATAATTAAGTTAAGGTTTTGGGCATAAGGCAAGTTCAAGTTGTAATAAGAGCGTTAGAAGTGCACATAAATAAAGCTAGTGAAAGAGGTCTGCATTGCAGAGCGAGATTTCTCAGAAACGATATCTGTTGCATAGATCAGAGCAATGGTTCCTGTTTTGGGTGTGACTTTTTTGGTCTGGTGGAGAATTAAAAATGTTAATAGCTGAAGACGTCATATAGAGTGTTATTGAGCTGGATAAACCTTTTGTAGACATCTTCAAACATTATGACATCCAGAGATAACTAGTGAGGGTGTAAAAAAACATCTGATGAGGATCGGAAGATAACTAATCAGAGATCAGTCTGGCTCAAACCAAGGTGTAGCCAACTTCTTGTTTCAACAACACACCCCATCTGGTTGGACTAGATTGTTGCACATACTCATTTAAAAGCTTGTATACTGCTAAGACAGGAAATTCTTCTGTCCACAGGGATCTGTAGAATGATGGTGAACTTGACCTTTAGTGGTGGGAAATATGGTCCATATTTTCATACAAATGGTCACTGATTTATAAAATCTATGGTTATTAAAGCAATTTTTAAATTACTCCAGATAAAGAACGGAGTCTTGTCCAGAGGAGGGCGTTCTTCTGTGTTGGGCCATGCGTCTGTGGAGAGGTCGTTTGGTTTCTACAACATAAAGATCGGAGCATTCCTCGCTGCACTGAACAGCATAGACCAGTCTGCTCAGATTAGGTCTGAGGGTTGTATCTTTTAACCTGACTCCGCCAGATGGATTTGCTCCACATATCCATCTGGAAACCTTCCGTAGAAGTAATTTTGTGAAGGGCCAAAAATACTGGTTAGCTGATTGGCCTATGTTGGTGATAGACGGGCCAAATAAACCAGTCAGATCAACGAAGCACATGACGTACTAACAGAGCGACGACGAAGAGGAGCAGATTGATAGATCAAACTCTTGCCTAAACCAGTCGGGAGAAGAGCAAAAACATCTTTTCCTCTGAGAAAAGCCTCCAGAGCAGTGTTTTGCTCTTCTTTCAGTGAAGAAATACTCTGTAATTCCGATAAAACTTGCTCGATAGCCACGCTAACGCTAGTTTCATCGGCTGAAGCCGCCATGTTCTTTAGACTGAACTGTTGCGCTTCTCGTTGCGTCACACCTCAACCCGCCTCAAAGCCAACGCTGATTGGACGTTCGTTTGGTGAACGGCTCAAAATTTTCTTTAACGGAGAGTCTCCAGACTGATCTGCGAGTGAAACCTTTAAAGCTCGCGAGATCAGGATGGTCTCACGAGGCTATGTATCTTTAGGATGCACTAGCCTCTGTTTAAGGGTTTTGTTTGGCTTGAAATGTTCTGGGATCTTGTGTTTGGAGCAAATCCTGTTCAGTTTTTCAGAGACTCCAGCAACATAAGGGATTGTGATGTTTTTGCGTTTAATTTTCTCACCGCTATCTTCTGTTGCGTGTCTTTTGGATTTCCTTGTTGATTTGATAAACGCCCAGTTTGGATATCCACAGTTTTGGAGAGCATCTTTGATGTGTTTCTGTTCTTTGTGCTTTGTGTTTTTGTGTTCTGCCCGGTGTTGTAAGGTTCTGATGACTGAGAGTTTGTGTTCCAGTGGGTGGTGTGAGTCAAAAACAAGATACTGGTCTGTGTGAGTAGGTTTCCTATACACTTCAATGTTTAGGCTTCCATCTCCTTCCATGTTCACCAGACAGTTCAGAAAGGGTTTGTTGTTCACCAGAGAGGATGCAGAGGTGTTAAAGCAATATATGTAAAAGGGAATTAATAGGAGATAGATTTATCTATCTATCTATTTGTCTATCTATGGATCTATCTATGCTGTATCTAATAACACGGAAGCTACCAAACTAAATGTTTTTGGATCCTTCACAGGTCCATAAATGGTAATAAAAGCAAGTTACATATACTCAAGCCAAGTGACATGTAAATGTCTTCTAATGCACAGTAGTGATTCTTATTTCTGAATTTGCAAACTGATCCCCCAAAGAATTGAATGGTTAAAAACCTGATTGATTAAAGGAACTTTTTATTTGAAATTCTGACTGAAACATCATTATTCTGTGTTTGTAGCCTTTTCTGTACCTCTCTCTTTATATAGTCTCTATATACTTTTCTCTGTGACATCTGCCCCGAAAGTCCCTGTAGGTTTGGGGGGAGTTGAAATATAACACAAATGATGACCACAGTCAACATAACATTAGTTTTTGCTTATTTATTTCTGCATTCATAGTTAGCAGGTATGTCACAGCAGATGCATCAGTGCGTGCAATCTTTGCATGTTTGAGCTGGTGGATTGCCGTTGAAGTTGGCACTCGATGCAATGAACAGAAAATGTCATTTTCAAAATGCATGGGTTGTCAAACTAAGCTACGCTGAGTGATTCTCAAAGGACACAAAGAATGTACATTCTGCTGGTCTAGATCCTGCTGTAAATCAAAGCAATGAATAAGGATAAGCCTTACCCTTGAAACAGATAAATAAAATGTTATGTTGGATGATTTCACAGTAAACACATGCAGCATTGCCTGAATATGAATTAGTCGCATTGACTTCCACATTTATAACGAATGGGTTGGATAGATGAGCAGAAAATGAGTGGGTGGCTGAGAGAAGTGTTTGTAAAGAGGCCAGAGGGTTATTTCCACGCATCAGAGTTCCTGTTGATCTGCGGCACCATACGCTCCCATCTCACTGCCACTGTGAAAAACCAAGGAAAGCAAATAATTTGGAGCTTGCCATCATCCCAGGAGATGTTTACTAAAGAACTCCAACCACTGGATATTGGTGTAAACAGGTGAAGTTACGGGTCACGTGGGAGCAATGGATGACAGTGG